TTTGCCAAAATGAATCCAGCAATTTCTTATTTGAAAAACTGGATCTTTGTGACTTTGGCTCACCACCCTCAAAGTAACAGAGAAACTTTTCATTGCTATATAAAAGCTAGTAACTAATTGATATTGTGTGACTATGCTACGAACACTTGCTATAAGATGCTGCCAGTGCTAAGAATCAGACAATTGGACTTCACTTAATGGGTAGGGAAAAATGGGTAAAAGGCTCCCTATCAGATATATCAGGGGAAAATAAAAGAGCTGAACATGAGCCTACAGAGGTGGACCTGAGTCACAGGAATCCAGATTTTTAGCTAATCAATTACTTCTGCTAAACATCTGCGGTGTTCCACCCAGAAGTGGCTACATTGTAGTGGTAGGTAAATTCAGACACACAGTACTGAACAACCATTAGAATAAAAGGCAATATATACATATAAAATGCTATAAGGACAAAGTACAATCTGTCCACTCTGGCTTCCATTTCTGAGCATGGTAGGATCAAACTGATCTACTGGCCAGAGCCATGTACTCTGAAAGGCTATTAAATATTGCTATTTTAACCTCCTTCTTCCAAAATCTCTGAGTAGATCTGGAGTCTCACAATTTTGGTTAACCTGAGCCATATTTAGCCTTAATCCATTTCTGCAAAGAAGAATGAAGGAACAGTGAAGGGCTCTACACGTGCTAGTGAATAGGGAAAGTCATCCTTTCATCCTCATGGATTCAATGATCAAAACCATAGAGTTGCTAAATGACTAACACTATAATACTAGTCTCATTCTTGTTGGCTAGCTCTTTTGTGCAGCAGCTTTCTTCATTACAAGTGAACTCCAAGATCCAAAAACATGATAATTCATTAATCTCATCAAAGTACAGATGTACTTGAAGTAAATAAGATAAGAAACTGTTGCATATAAAGAGGAAATGTGCTATGCTTTCTCATTTCTAATAGGGCTATTGCGTAGCATTTCTCTTTACAAAATAAGGAAATGTTAGTAAAAAGTTTTTAAATTGCACAGTCATGTTTATAACTAATTAACGTAATCAGAAAAATTGCTTTCAAGGGCTTCTAAATGTTTACTGAAGGTGAGGATATCTGGGACCTGGACTTCCTTAGGCACATGGGAGATACCACTTCTACAGGTATCACTTGTTGAAAACAGATCAGTTCACCAATACACTTCTACTTCGATATAACGCTGTCCTCGGGAGCCAAAAAAATCTTATCGCGTTATAGGTGAAACCGCGTTATATTGAACTTGCTTTGATCCACCAGAGTGCGCAGCCCAGCCACCCTGGAGCACTGCTTTACCATGTTATATCCGAATTCGTGTTATATCGGGTCGCATTATATCGAGGTACCGGTGTACTTATGAAAATAGATTTATTTGCACTTTAAGGTCTATGCAGCATGACACTCCTAGATAGGTGACTGTCTGCAAGGACTGAACCCAAGACCTCGGGATCCAAAAAAACGTAAGCCTCTCCTGCATGATGCTAAGGCTATGTCTACATTATGAGCGAGGGGTATGATTCCCCTGCTCATGTATATATACACATTTGCACGCTAGCTCTCAATGAACTAGCACAAATATAAATAACCACATAGCTATGGTAGCACAGGTAGCAGCAGCAGAAGCATGCTTGAGCCACGCCACATACCAACCCACCTGAAACTGGTGGGTATATACTTGAGTCGTGACTCCGCTGCCATATCATGGTTACACTGCTATTTATATTTGGACTCATCTGTAGTGTAGACATAGCCTAAGAACAAGGTCCCTTAGTGTAAAGCTGTAAGAGACCCATAAAGCTCTATATATGGATTAGCCACAAGCAGAGGACAGAGAACCACTGTGTTAGCACAGGTTACATCTAGGTTATTATTATTTATACTGCAGCAGCACCTAGGAGCACCAGTCATGGAGCAGGATCCCACTGTGTTACGTGTTGTACAAACACAATAAAAAGACAGTCCATACCTCAAAAAGTAGGAGACAATCTAAAACCATTTCAAGCGTATTTCCAGCACTCACCATACACTTTAAGAATCATAACATGATGGCTCTAAAGAATATATCATTACTAATAATTTGATCATTTATGCCTGGTTTATTAACTCTGTGGTCAAACCCTATGCTATCACAAGATGCTATCTACAGGGCCTGTGGGGCTGTGCAGCCCCAAGAGCAGATCAGGGGCTGAACTGTGACACACTGAATCATAAATGCATGCTTGTTTCCCTCTTTCCCCGAAGGAAGAAAGTCATCTGCACCAGCCCCTTATCTGGCACAGTTCACTTCCCCTTCTGTGCCAGCTGAGCTGGTGGTTGGTATGGTGGAGGCAGAGTTGAGTCTCTGTCCACTCTCCATCTCTGTCTATCCCTGTGGGAGGGAGCATAGTTGCACCATGGAGGTTCCTTTTCCCCTATGCAATAACTCTTGGTTCAGTAGCCCTTATAAGGAAGCAACTTAAATCCTCTTATATCCACAATGCAGGGAAGTGGAGCAGGTTACCATCTAACTCATAATGAGATTGCTCGTACTCAGATGTACTGCTCAGTTCAGTCCTATTTTAATTAAAATAGTTATGACTATACTATTATAGAATGATGTAAATTGCATTCTGTACTTTTTATTCTGTAGCTAACACAATATCTAATGTCTTCTTCACATTCTAACCCATTTGAAAAGACTTAGCCCTAAAAACAGGGCCTAATCAGTCTAAGTGTATTTGATTTCCAAGAGACAGAACGGATACTTGGAAGATAATGGGCCTCATAACCTCAATTCAAATGCATCTTGATCACTGACTGGGGATCTGGTGCAGCTCAATATTTTAAAGCCGAACAGTCAGGCATTGAGCGTAAGGCCCTTTGGGGGCATGGCACTGAGAATAAGGAATTCTTACTTTCTAATGCCAGCTTTGACCCAAATGCTCTCTGAAGACTGGACAAGTCACTTAACCTCCCTTTGCCTTAGTTTTCCCATCTGTAAAATAGGGGCAATAATACTTATTTGCCTACCTCCCTGGATTTTTGAGTGTAATAATTAGTTAAAATTTGTAGTATGCTAAGTAATAATATAGCGGGAGGGGGAGACACTGATGAGGAATGCAGAGACAAAAGAAGGAGAAGAGAGAATGTGACATAAAAGAAAGCAAGGAGGTGGACAACTAAGAATAGAGACAAGCAAGAAATAGAGAATGTGAACAAAGGAAATGTTACTTTACAGAGACAATAGAGAAGGGGAAACCAAAACAAGAAAAAAAGAGTAGACAGAGTGAAAGGAGAGAATGTGTTTTGGTGATGGAAATAATAGGTCAGACATGGATGGAGAGAAAAATGAGAAAGAAAAGGAAACAGGAAATAAGCAACAAAAAGGCACACAAATTTTTGGTTAGGGCATTTAGTTTAATTTATTTACGCTTTTTTATACTGTTGTACTTCCTGTCAGATGTCATCCATCTGTGCAAGGCTAGTAGCAAACGTTACAGGACAGCTATGTTAGTCTGTAATCACCACTTCCCAATTATATTATTTAGATTTAGAAATAGGATTTTAACTTTAAGCTTTGGTACTTTGAATCCCCTGTGACTAGCCCGGGGTAGGCAACCTATGGCACGGGTGCCAAAGGCGGCACGCGAGCTGATTTTCAGTGGCACTCACACTGCCCGGGTCCTGGCCACCGGTCCAGGGGGCTCTGCATTTTAATTTAATTTTAAATGAAGCTTCTTAAACATTTCAAAAACCTTATTTACTTTACATACAACAATAGTTTAGTTATATATTACAGACTTATAGAAAGAGGCCTTCTAAAACGTTAAAATGTATTACTGGCATGCGAAGCCTTAAATTAGAGTGAATAAATGAAGACTCGGCACACCACTTCTGAAAGGTTGCAGACCCCTGGACTAGCCTCTGTGTGAATGGGCAAGGGCAGTAGGGGGGGGGGGTTGAGGGAAATGCAGAATTACTTCCATTGTTGCCTAGACTTTGTGTGGTTGGAGCGTGAAACCACTCCTTGTACTAGCAATGCAAGCAATACTAACCTGCCCAGAGAGAGGGTGGCAGGGTGTGGGTGAAGACAAAGCACAGCTGTAGTATAATATACCTCCCTGGATACCCAAGAGGCATTTCTAGTTGACTCAATCAGAAGTGCTTCCTGGGACTCCCACTGTAATATAGCAGCTGCACATACCTCCCACATAAAATGCAGAGCTGTGCCCTAAGCAATGATATATGCTTAAATTGAGAATCATTGACAAGTCTCGGCATTTGCACCACTTCCCGTACCTTTCGTAAAGACTAATGAAAAAAAATAGCATACATATTTTGAATGTTTTCTACAGTCATCCATAGGCAGATATTAATTGAGTAACCTTTACATTGTTTTAAGTAACATTTACTTTGTTTTAAATTCATTGTTCTGTTTCAGTTAAAACTGACAACATATTTAGCTTCCCATCTCTCCATTCTTACACACATTTCAGTACTTCTAACTTCAGCATCACTCCTTTCTTCTATTTATGCTTCTTTGTTAGAAACTGCAATATTTCTAGGTTTACCCCAAATGTTAGGCATAACACTGAAACAGAATTGTAACTGGTATATTTTGAGAATAAAAACATTCTCCAGTTTACCATTTTCAAATGATGTACTAGATTATAAACTCTTTACACAAGTGAACAGTTACTGTTGTCCATATTGATTTCAGTGGGACTACTACGCTATTTGCCTATCAACATAAACCTTAAGTGGAAAAAATAAACACAACAACTTGAAAGAAAATTACAAGAGGGTCATATTATGCCCAACAAGTTTAAAAATCACTGAAATATCTGGTTCTCTCTGTAACTGTGTGATGTCAAAGTATGACTAGAACATTATAATCAAAGAGCTACTCAATAGGTAAAAAATAATTATGTCCATTCCACTGCATTTACACAGGATAATAAATTAATTGATACACATGTCACATAAAACTATCATATATACATACCAGTTTTGGGGTTTATTGAAAAGAATCCCTGTGGGTTTCCACTTGTAATCTTGTAGGTCAACTTTTCACTAGAGCTGGAATCAGGATCAAATGCCTCAATCTGAATGACAGATACATCCTTAGGTGAATTCTCCATGACTTCTGGGTAATAAACAGGTTCTGTTGTCTGTGGAGCATTATCATTAACATCCCCAACTTCTATGTAGATTTCAATGAAGGAAGATAGAGGCACAACACCCTGGTCTGTTGCGTAAACAGTTAACCAGTAATGTGAGGTAGTCTCACGGTCCAGCAGATCAGCCGTCTCTATTACACCTGTTCAACAGGAGGGAAAAAAGCAACAATATTAAATGCCCCATAAGTATAAAGAGTAAGTTGGAGGGGGGGGGGGAAGAATTATTAAAAGGGTCTGAATTTTTATACTTTATTGTTTTAATATTTATAAATCTATTTTCTTTTTAATCTCCCTTGAGAATTATCTGATTATTTAACATCATTCCTGAAATATTTCTGCCCAGAAGATATTAATTATGAGTTATTTGCAATCTTTGGGACTTGATTTACCCTCTTAATTCATCACTCCTGACAATGAAAATTTAACACTGTATTAAATTATCTAACTGATTTAGTACGAGGGTTCTGAACTATTTACCACCATTTAAATTAGTGAGAACCTATTTAAATTTGGTGGCATATACACTCATATGTGTCTGTGTGAATTATGTAAATGAATGTTTCTTAATGTGTATAAATACTTGAATCCACTTACACAACCTTTTTGAGAAATCTGAAAATAGAGAGATTTATGTTGCCCTTCTCAGCCTTAGCTACAGTGTTTGCCGTAACTTTGCAAATCATAGTGTACCCCTAAAAAGAACTAAAATTCACTATTTCCAAAGAAAAGAGTGGCAGCTACAGAATGAGCCAATCTTTCTTACATCATCCAGACTGTCTTCTCCAAGGTATTATTTTCTAGCTAGACCCAAAGAGGACCTGACATAAAAATACCTTAATATCTACAAAGAGAGGGACCAAAAAAAAAGCAACAGTATATGATAATCATAAAAGGGGCATTGTGAAGGCCAGTCATTATTAATCATTATCATTATTGTTTATGTTACAGTAATGCATAAAGACTTAATTGTGACTGGAGCCCAAATGAGCCAAAACAGTGACATGCCAGCTAGGTTTGGGATTGTGGACACATTTACATGATGTGCATGTAGTATTTTCTCCTATCCTGTGCCTATCTGTACTGCTCATGCATGCTGTCAGTAAAATGGGATCTAGGTAAATACACATTTATAAGTGTACCGTCTGAAGCATGATTTTTGTAAGAATAGTACTGCTGTATTTCCCTTCCTTTAGATGCACTGTAAGCCCCCTCCCTTCACTAAACGTAATCAATGTTTGCTTTTTGTAGATGAGGGGAGGCATATTGCCCCTCACCAAAACAAAGAATGCTGTTTTAAGAGGTTTAAATATTGTTAAATTTATATCTTCAGATTGTGTATCTGAGGCCAAATTATGGTCCAAACATAACTGCCATTGAGGTCCCATTAGGAGTAGTATGAACATATCAGAGAACATAATTTGACCCATGATGAAGATAATACAATTAACAATTTCTCAAACCCTTAATTATATCTTTGTCCTTATAGGAAATTGCATGAGAGTCTGATGACAAAAACCCTGAATCCAAAATGATAGAGTTATTTCTGGAAAAGCTAGCGTCTAATACCAGAAAGAAAATTCAAGTAATCTTTTACTGATAAAGCAGAAATGCATATAATTTCAAACACAGTATTCAACATTTTAGAATCACCACCAGATGTCACTCTGGAAACTGGTTGTGTACAATGTAGAAAGCGGTAGGGCTGGGGTAAAGAGAAGGGAAAATGAGAGTTCTGTATATTAAAACAGAAATTGATATTCTGTATAGGATGGTCTTGAAAACAAAATAGATAATAGTGGCTATCTAGTTACATTTTTTTTTTGCAGAGGAATCCACTAATACCAGCAAAGTACTGAAAAGATAAGGTATTGCTTTAAAATAAGTTGGTATTTTATATTATCCACTTTTCAACTTTGTATTTGTACTGTTTACCTATAATTTTCTTTCAAAAAACACAAATAATCATCATATGCAATCACTATATCTCTGTTAAGAAGTTGCCAATTAGCTGTGGTCTTCATTCTGCAATCATAATTTCTAAATATCAGAGAGAACATAAACAAATTATTTTTAAGTGCATCTGTGATCTGTATTCCCCCACAAATTTCCAGGATCTACTTCTATTATTTACTCCTGGTATACTTTTTATGTCTTTTTACTTATTAAGAAGACTTACTTGAGAGTTAATGAACCAGATTAAGAATCCTGACTTCACTTTTAGCCCACAGCATTTCCATAGAAACCCCATGTGTTGAATGTGGCATGCAAGAGTTTCAGTTGTACAATCTGTGCAGGCTGTGCCCTTATTTATCCTGTGGCAACTTCGCAAAAGCTACATGCCCTACTAACCATAAGACTAGATTACATTAATTCCCTCCTAGCAGGGCTTCTCTGTCACTTGCAGCTTGTGTAGAATGCAGTGGCACGCTTATTTATTGGATTGAACAACTATCACCATAGTATGCCCCCCCCCTGCATTCTTAACACCAGCTATCTCAAAATAAAATGGCAGATTACTTTTTAAATGGCCGTGTGTGTTTTTGAAGCTCTCAGAAGGGTAGACTTTAACTTTAAGACAGACCTCCTCAAGGCACTCCCCCACTCCCTTTCACAAATTCCACCACTTCTCCTTAGTTATGGTGACTCCTAGCTACAGACAAAGTGTAGAAGTCTTGCTCCCTTGACATCTCTCTCCAACACCTGAAAACTTTAAATCAACTATTAAACAAGAAAAATGTTAATGCACAAAAACAAAAGAAACCTAGATTCAGAAGGGAACCATATAAAATAGGTTGCTAACTTTCTAACTGCAGAAAATCGAACATCCTTGCCCCACCCCTTCCCCGAGGCCCCGCCCCTTCTCCAAGGCCCCACCCCCGTTCACTCTATCCCCCTCCCTCTGTCACTCGCTCTCCCCCACCCTTGTTCACTCATTTTCACAGGACTTGGGCAGTGGGTTGGGGTGCAGGAGGGGGTTGGGGCACAGGCTGTGGATGGCACTTATCTCAGGCAGCTCCCTGGAAGCAGCGACATGTTCCTCCGGCTGCTAGGCAAAGGGACAGCCATGGGGTTCCGCATGCTGCCCCCACAGCTCTCATTGGCCACAGATCCCAGCCAATGGGAGCTGCCGAGCCAGCGCTTGGCACAGGGGCAGCACACGGGGACTCCATGGTCATCCCTTCACCTAGGAGCCTGCCAGGAGCCTTGCTGTGCGCCGGCAGTGCCGCCAACCAGCCTTGCTGTGCCGGCAGTGCCGCCGACTAGAGTTTTAATGGCCCCGTCAGCAGGGCTGACCAGAGTTGCCAGGGTCCCTTTTCAACCGGATGTTCCAGTCAAAAATCAGACACCTGGCAACTCTAATATAAAAGGATTATCAGGGTAACAACTAGAAACATGACACTCCTGAAATTGTTAGTACATTTATTTTTAGTTTTATTTCAAATTCAGTCTGGGTCCATAAGATGATTTCTACAAACTCTTCACTATGACAAAGCTATGATTTTTGTGAAAATTTACAATGACAAACCTACAGTGCTACTGATTAATTAACCAGTGAACAACTCATCTAGCGCAGATGTCTACCCAACAGGATAGTGTTGGCTTTCAGAATTCTTGCAATTTTAACTTGCTCTAGGGTCACCTGCACTGTAAGTCTGCATTAGTGATTAGCATCCGGAAACATAAGCTACCTAAGCTGACAGTGAGAGTGAAATGAATCATTCTTCCATTTTTTCATGTTGGAACAAATCCCAAACTGTTGAACAAATATTTCTTGAATAGGACTGCTGTTTAAAAGTTTGAATCAGATTAAACAAGTGTGAAAGAATTTCATTCTATGGACCAGGTGAGGAAACAATAACACTGATACCTGTATTGGGACCTGAACTTAATGTTCAAAATAAAACATTACTTGATGTGAGATTCCTCAAATTTGCAAACAAAATATAGCAGAAATACAAACTTCTCCACCTCCCTACATATTAGAACAGGTATCAGTGACAGGCACATTAGAGATAGATGCCTTATTAAAAATGGACACACATGCATTCTAAGAATTAAGTTAGTCTGACAATATTAAAAACGAAGGTACAAAAAGCCACTGCTTCAGTAAATGGTACATGCAAAAGGGGGCTGGAAGAAATGAGGCCAAGCAGCTTTCCCTCACCCTTTGCACACAGGTCAGCCACAATTTCTTTTGGAGCCAGACCAACTACTCCTGGTTAGTAGAGCTAAACTGTCGAAAGGGATATGGCAGGAGTGAGTGTTTGGGCATGACTCAGCTTTCCCCCTTATACCAGGCCAGCTCTGAGGAGTACATCTTTCAAAATGGGGCAGAGCTACTAATCCAATGTGCACTCTCCTGGAGGAATTCTGGCTGTGACAAGCCAGGGCTCCCCCTATAGAAATATACAACCCAAAATACATTCAATAGTTTAAAAATAACAGTCCGGTCTGTATCAGAAACTACACAGAAAACCGCACCTTAAAATCTCTTACCAGCCCCTCTCCTTCAGATCCGACCTTAAACATTTTAAATCACCAATAAAAAATGACACTAATAGTCCCACCTTAAATCTCAAGGGACACTGGGCCACACAAAAACACCCAAAATTCAATACAATTTGCAATCTCTGCTCATGAAGTTACAGGCCTGGAACAGATCAGCTAAACCAGGATGAAGATGCTTTTCACAAGTATAACAATATTTTCTTCCCTATCACTGGTCCAGGACCAGTGTTCCCAAAAGTGTATTGGTCCTTAAAGGTCTTGTGCTGGTCTGCCAACTATTCCTCTTTGTAATCTTTACTATATTATTCTAGTAGTCCATCTCACACAGAGTTAGAGCAGACTAATGCTTTATGCTAGCTAGACTAATGCTTTATGCCATTTGAAAGCCAGCATTCTAAGCTTTCAGACAGAGTAAATCATTGGATTAGAGCTCCAGTGGTTTTCAAGAGAGCAGTCACAAAAATTATGTTTGACTTCAAATACTAAGAAAGAAAGAATCAGAAAGGTGTGATTTCTGGTACCTTGTGACCAGCCAAGGCCAGTAAATAAATGCTCTTTCCACTGGAATAGCTGTGGGTAGAGTTTCCATCTCTTCAGCAGTATGAAAAAAATATTTGTTTCTAGCTCTGGT